AAAAAAAAAAAAAAAAAAATTTTTTTAAAAAAAAAAAAAAAAAAAAAAAAAAAAATTTAATATAATAAAAAATATATAAAATAAATAATAAATAGTAAAAATAAAATAACAGAAATTGTAAATACAAAAAATTAAATACAAGAAAATAGATATACAAAAAATTCAGCTAAATAGAATAAGCTTGCTCTCTCTCTCTTTTTCTCGCTCCTTTTCTATTATCTCCTCAACCTCTCCTGGCCAACGTCTCTCTAGCCCCCACTTACACAAAGATAACAAATCTGATGCACTCCACACAGCGGCATCAGCTCCTGATTCAAGTCGCCCGAGATGAGATCAACGCTGCGACAACGCTCGGCCATGGACTCAATGATGGGGCACTGATTGGAGCCAATGACGTAGTTCTTGTTGCCCAGGTAGGCATCATTCAGTGTCTCATAGCCGGTGCTCTGCATGCCCAACGGCTCGTCTATGGCGTTTGGCGGCTCCGGGTAGCGCATATAGCCGCTGCGCTTCTTCTTCAGCTGCTGTGCATCCCTAGGGAGTTCAGTGGATTAGCTATTGTTTCATACTCCTCCCCTTCGTCTCCACTTACTCTGCCTGCTGTTCGGCCTGCTCCTTCTTGACACTGTAGCGCTTCTTCATCGGCCACTGGCTGTCCAGGGAGTTCTCCTCGGACTCTGGCTCGATGACATTGCGCAGCAGATGATTTTCAGCGTCCACAGATTGACGCAACTTGTCCAGCGCACGGCGCATCTTCTCCAGGCTGTAGGCGGTGGCCAGGCGCGAGAGCACGTGCTCCTTCAGCTTGCGGATCTCCTCCTGGTTCTTGATGCCCTCGTGTGCGCCCGTATACTTGATGGTCTCGTCGATGATGAAATCCTCAATGGACTGCAATTTCTTGTCCATGCTCTCCAGCTTCTCGGGATCAATGTCGCGCTTCTTCTTCTTCTTCTGCTCCAGCTCATCCAGCTCCTCGTTGTTGCTGCTGCTGCTGCCGCCGCCGCCGCCGCTGCTGTTGCTCTCCTCGCTGCGTTTCTTGGACTCGACACTAGAAATAGATGAAGTTGGAGTTAAAGAGATGCCTCCCATATCTTCTGCTTGGAACTCACTCGGCCAACTGCTCGGACTTCTTCTTGCGATCGAGGCCAAAGTATTGCGACCAATCAATGGACTTCTTGGCGCGCAGCATCAGGTGTCCCACACTCGGCGAGCCGTGCGCATGGCTAGCGGCACGCTTCTTCTTGCGACGTCGCTCGCCGGCATCGCCCTCGCCCTCGCCCTCGGCATCGCCATCCTCGTCGTCGTCGAACTCATCGTGGTCCTCCTCGTCGGAGCTCTCCTCGCCCTCGCCCTCGCCCTCATGCTCGCCATACTCCTCGTCCGAGTGGTGCTCACTGCGCTTGTGGTGGTAGCCCGCGTGTCCGTGCGAGATCGACTCCCCGGTGCCAGCGGGCTTTGGTGGCGCCTGCGTCGGCGTCTCCTTCGGCGCGGCAGCGCTGCTCACGTTGACGCGCTGGAAATTGATCTCCAGGCGCATGTCACCCAAGGCGGTGGCCGTGGCCGCCGCCGTCTCCGGCTGATGTGTGGTCGAGGCTGCCTTCAGTTGCTCCTCCGTGGAACGTTTCTTCTTCTCCTCCGGCTGCTGGTCGTTCAATGGCTTGCCGAACAGCTCGCTCAGCTCCTGGGCGACGCGCTCGTCCGTCTTGGCCAGCGGGGACTCACCCGCCGCACGCTTGGCCACCGGGAAACGCTTCTTCTTGTCGGCATTGTACGGCAGCCAGGGCAGCACCGGATACGAGCGTTTCTTTTGCATCAGCAGATAGTAGGGCGGCATGCGCATGCGTTTCTTTTGCTCGAACAGCTGCGACTGCTGCTGCGGCTGCTCATCCAGCTCATCGGCGTCTCCATTGTTGTTGGCGTTGTTGTGGATCTCGTTCTCCTGCTGCTGATACTTCTCCCAGAGCTGACGCAGCGCCAGCTTGTAGCGCTCCTGCCGCTCATGCTCGCTGGCCTCCTCGATCTCGCGCAGAAATTGTTCCGTTAGCTCGCTGTGCGTGGCATCTCCGTTCAGATTTTCACGTTCACGGAAGACAGATGGAGCCGAGTCTATATATAGGAATAGAACATGAAGAAGAAGAAGGAGAAGGAGAAGAAGCTCGTGTCAGAACTTTGACATTGACTTAAGTTACGGCACACACGAGCAGGAGGCGACAGGTTGCATTGATAGACAGCCCGTCGGGCCGCGTGCTTCGGCTATAAATTCAGCTCTGTATAATTAATTCGTGTGTGTGGGCGCACGTCTCTCTCTCTCTCTCTCTCTCTCTTAGTGTGTGTGTGTGTGTGTGTGAGTATGCGACTTATGGGCACGCATCAAGTTGTTGGCGACCTTTCAGGCCATTAAATCGAATGACAGGAAGGCCGACAGGATGCCCGCTTCCAGCTCATTGCATTCATCATTCAAGTAAGAGTTGAGCCTAAGTCCACACACACACTCACACACACACACAGACACACTCAAGTTAATCTGAGCTAAGTGGTTTTAGCTGCAAAAGCAAAAGCAAAAGCAACCAAAAAATAAAATAAAGCATTCTTATCCCAATCCATTTGTGGCACTCAAGTGGACACGCATATGGAGCATAAAACTCAGCTCAACTTGAGCCCGCCCCCCCTAAATAGATCTACTTACCGTACTGCTGCTCATCACGCTCCCTAAAGTTGGAGGATGAACGCTTGCGCTTGTCATCCACAAACAGATTGCTGGGATTCGATTGCTGCTCGCGCTCATCGTCGAACTCGTAGCCATCGAACGGCGGACCGCCCAGGGCGCCCTGCTCGTAGTTCTCGCGCTCATTCTCGCGCTCTAAATACTTGGCAAGTGCTTTGTTTATTCTGTGGCGATTCCGATTCTTAAACTTGTTGCTGGTGCCGGTGCCAAATAAATCGCTATCTGCAACTGTGCACGGAGATAAATACCAAAAAGAAAAAAAAAACCAAAAAAAAAAAGAAAATAAGGAATACAAAAATTGGGAATAAAAAAAGAAAATCAAAGGAAACTTGAAAATCGTGATGTGTATATATACATACAGACACACATATATATATGTATGTTTGTATGTGTGTGTGAGTGCAGGAGACATGCCATGGGCCACGTGCTCTGTTACATGCGGGTTACAGCTGATGCTGCGACTGTATCCAGTTGCCTTAACCTACCTCCCTCCCTCTCTCCCTACCTCCCTCTCTGTGGCTCCTCTGCCTTGCTCTGCTATCAGTTACGAATTGGCTTCTCTCGCTTGCCCTGCAGCTGACAGCTGTCCTATCCTGCCCTGCCCTGTCCTGCCCTGCCCTTGTCTGCCCTGCCATGTCGTGTCCTTTCCTGACTTGCCATTCCGGCTTAACTTGAGCTTATGCGATTTACCCACGTTAAGTAACACACACACACACACACACACACACACACACACACACGCAACTTCCACGTGTCTGTGCATTGCGATTTTTCATTACAACATTTCGTTTTATCGTGGCCTTATTAAGCAGTTAGCAGGAAAGGTATGCTTCTTTGCTATTTCAAGTATTTTCAGTCACATATCAGATACATTTGAAATGAGCATTCACAAGTTACAATGGAAATAGATAGATATTAATATGTTACACTTTTTATGGCATTACTCCATTTTACTTACATCTGCTTTACTTCTATTTCCCTTCGTTTCATCTCAATTGTATTTTCTACTTTCTCTATCTATCTATCATTTTGCCGTTTCCTATCTTTTATCTACCATTATAAATGTTAACTTTTATTTGCTCTCTGTTTTTATATATATCTCTATCTTTCTCTATCTTTCTCTTAATCTCCATCCCTCTCAGAAGCCCCCCTCTGTAGCTCTGTTTCTCCCAGCTTTATATCATTCTGTCCTCCTTCACTCTATCTCTCTCTCACTTTGCCCAAGTCGATCTGTGTCTCTCTCTTTCCCGATCTACATATGTACATATGTATCTCTATCCAATAATAAAGTTCTAAATACAGTGATTATATTATATTACATGTTAATTTTGAATAGGTGCTTGAAGCTGGTCCACATAGCCAGGAGGGGATACGTTAATTAACAGGGTGCTAGCCGCGTGCAAGGACTCTTTTTGGGTTGCGAACTAAGCATTATCCATTCGGTGGCTTATCTCTCGTAAATCTTTCGCCCACTCAATGCTAGCCGCTTCAACTACTTCACTATTTGGTTGTCTTAGTTGCCGTACGCCTGCTGTGATTGCCCTGCTGCTGCTCCCCGCCCTTTGGGTTAGTGGAGCACTCACCTTCATCCCAGTCGTCCAGCTGTCCAGATGGGGGCGGTGCGTTCAATGGAAACTTGGCAGCCTCGCGGCGATGCAGCTCATCGACGGCCGCCTGCAGTGAGTAGGCGGCGCGTTGGGGCGTGGCCAGGACAATGCCAAGCAGCAACAGTCCCAGGATGGCCCCGGCATCGACAAATCGGCCGGCCATGGCAACAGCTGCCTTACAACTGCCTCTGTTGCTGGGCGAGAAGAACAAAGAGAAGAGGAAGAGCAAAATGAAGAGGCTGAAGTAGAAGTTAAAGGATCAACGCATTCATATTATTTTATGCCCGGCACGTTTCAGGTCCGTAAAGGTAGCTAGCCCCAGGCGCGCAAATAAAAAAAGATATATATATATACATAAAAAAAACTTTTAATTACATTTGCACTTTAAAGCAAAGTCAGGTGCAGAGAGGGTCTCTCTGTGTGTGTGTGAGTGTGTGTGTGCGTGTGTGTGTGTGTGCTTGTGTGTGTGCTTGTGTGTCTGCGGCATATGATATCGGATATCAAGAGGTTTTGCCAGCAGCGTCGAGCCTCATTGTCAGCCGGCGATTCATTATGCACAGCTAATAGCATATGAAATGCCAGACGGCTTAGCCACAGTGAAAGCTGGCTAAGTGCACAGGTGAGCTGAGAGGAGTTTTGCGTATCACAGGCATATTTTATACTAGATAAGATATCTTAAAATTAAATATATATTTGAGTTTTAATTATTTTTAATAAAATTTTTTTAAATGGATTTTTAGTGTTTGAAAATGTTATATTAGAATATCTCACAGTGTTTACCTAAATGAATTTTTACTAAACTAAGCCTTACAGACATATCATATCACTATATACGTATATGTTCCTAATCGATTCATTTTGTTTCCCTTCACTCTACATTCGTTTGAGCAAGTGTTTAATCTACTTATATATACCTCTACTCATATTCCATATAATTAATTAAATTATAGCACTGCCTTCCGCTTAGCAAAGCTTTACTGTTCTGTAATATCTCACACATATCGTATTTCAGCCTTACAATTGAGTGAGTTATCCTTTGCACTTCGTCTAAGCGAGGCTTGACTGTCCTCAGCACATCTCCCTCCACACATTTTCCACATAATTAAGTGCATCACTATATCAATCACGTTCCATGCATATTTCACGGAATTAAGTGAATCATTGCATTGACGTCACCGCAGCACAATTTCCATATTTCCCACACATACTACACCGCCTGAGTTATGTCCTCTGCTTCAGCTGAGCGAGTGCTTACTGCCTTTCTCGCACATACTCAGCATAATTAAGTGCGTTGCCCTAAGACTTCCTGCTTATGAAACATTAATTCGAGTAAACCTTCTGCACTAAATACAACATTTTGCACACATATTCGGCATAATTGAGCGAATTATTTCTTGAGTGAGGCCTTAAACTTCTTTCTTCCTGCTCGCATATCTCACACAGTTTTCCGCATATTTTCGATCGACCTTTGGCAATATTCAAACATTTTCCACATATATTTCCACACAATTATGTGCATTTTCAGGTGTTTTGCGCGCATAACTATGCAAATTAAAGGAGAGCAAGGGATGAAGGGAGAGAGAGAGGCAGAGAGCAGAGAGGGAGGCAGAGCTACAGCGGTTGGCATTTCAATTATTTCTTCATCTGGACTATTAATGAACGACGGACGTAGCAGCACTCTGCACTCTCCATTCTGCAGATAAATCAATAAAATTCCAATGCGCGCACATTTCTCAGCCACTGCCAAAGTTCTTCCAGAATTATATTCTTTCTTGTTCTTCTTCATCTGCTTCTTGTTCTTCATGCCAGCATAGGCGAAAGGACAATTATGTTCATGACGCTGACGAGCCGGTTTCCGGGTGAGCATTTCATTTGCGGCGCACAGAAGTATGCTATAGTTGTCGCCGTAATGAATGGAATGGAATGGCGCATACACACCGACACACTTGACGTATACGTAATATGAAGTATACGCCATGCTAGCTGCCTGTTGCTGCGGTTCCCTTTGTAAAAGAAATACACACACCACAGCAAAACACGTCCACAGCGAGTGTATATATAGATAGCAAAAGGCACTCTTCTTCTTGTCTCGCCCGCTCCCCAGTCTCATTTGCTTTGGAATTTATGATAGACGGTTGCCTTTAAGCGACATTAAATGTCAAGGCAGCTGCCATACATTTTAGCTGGCCCTCGTCGCAGCCCCGCCCACTGTGCTAGCGTCTCGCCTGCAGCTGTTGTTGCTTACTAACTGTTTATATTTTTTTAGTTTCAGTATCTTTTGTCATTGTTGTTATTGTACTTTATTATAATATTATTACCGCTGCCTGGCTGCCTGATGTCTGGGATCCGGAGAAGTCTTAGTCACGATTAGACTAAGACGCGACTCGACTCGACTCGCAGTAGCATAAAATTAATTTACTTCGAGTTCAATTATTTTCCCTTCGCTTTTGCCATTCATTTTATTCTTTGGCATTTGCATAATGGGCGCGCAGTGAGGGCTTTTAAACAAAGGTTAAAGATAATAAATCTGTTGGCGAAACCGCATTTGCCAATTCGATTTGAATAAGCTGGACCAGTGTTGGCTAACGAGTATGCAAGAGTGAGGGGCTCGGAGTACAAGTTTCGACTTAAGTGATTGCTAAAGAAAAGTGAAAGTGATTTACATGGAAAACTGTGCAAGCCGAAGATTGAGTAATGCTTGGCCAGTGTTGGCTAAGGATTTAGCATGACTGAAACTTGGGAGCTGTAAGCTCTGGCATTACTGACAACATAGAAAGAAACTTTAATTTCGGCCGAATATCTCTACCCCTACATATAAAAACTCTGCCTGCGAGCATTATTCGACCAGTGTTGTTTAATGCTTATGGAAGAGTGGTTTATATAAGAGATGAGCAAAAACTCCGGCTTAAGTGATTGCTAATGCATAAGTTATTCATATTGATGAAGATAAAGTGCTATTTGGCCAGTGTTGATTAATGATTCAGCAAAACTGAGGTAGCTAACATAAAAAAAAGCTAATTTAAGCAAACGATAACTCAATGACTATTTATTCAATCTAAAATTAAACCATCTATATTTATTCTGCTCAATTTTTCCTTTTTTTTTACCAGTGTTGGTTACTGATATTAAATTACCTACTTAATTTGAAAGCAAATTTCACTTAATTTGTCATTTATATATTATATGTGTACTTATCATTTATTTTCTTGAACACAATTTGTATTTTCTTCTGTTTTCTGGGGCTTTTAATTTCCAGGAATTTTACGCAGCATTTGAAATGATTTATGCTCGAAACAGCTTATTTGATGTGCACAGCGGACTTATTGTTCTCCTCATGTGACATTTCTCTGACTTAATGCCAAAAGCAATTTATTTCATATGCAAATTTGACAGGCTTTTCGAAAAGTTTGCAAATATGAAACAAATAAAAATCGACTTAAATTGTGCAAAAAATGCAATTGGTTCTCTGATATATATATATATATATATTTTTTTTTTATTTTCTGATTAGCTTTTGATACGCTTTTCGAAAGAAAAACATACCCAAAAAAGTTTGCGGCGGATTTTGCGGTTGACGCGCAGAACAACGAAAACGCAGCCCGCACCATTGGGCGTATACATAATATAATAAAAACAATATGAAATATAGATGGAACCTGTTATTTTTGGTATATGGTAGCTGTCCAATTTGATAGACAGCTTCAATAAGCTGTCAATTATATGATACACATTATGTATATATACGTATATGTGTGTGTGTGTGTGTCTGTCTGTCTGTGAGTGTATATAAGGAATGTAACTGTCGATATTGATGCTGGGCAGTGGATGCAAATTGGCTCGTGCCGCGGCAACATAATTTGATTTATGTGATGAATATTTATTTGAGGGACCCAGAAGCAGGTCCCAAAAGCATTTGCTTGGCAATTCAATTTACTGACAAATTCAATTGCCGCAACAGATTGAGTCGCATGTACATATATCTACTATATACTCGCTACCAGGAACTGCGTCTAATTAGGCAACTGGCGCAGAAAAAGAGGACCTTTTCTATTATGCCCTTAGCCATTTCGCCTTTCTTCTTTTTACAAACTTGATATGTATGTACGCTCTGCATAATTCATTTGGGCGCACAAGAGCGGCGCTTTAATCAAGCCAATCATATAAAATATTGCCACATTGAGGCTCGTTTTTGACTTATTGACACAATACGCCCACGCTTACCAACAAACAAATCAATGGCAGCTTACGGCTCCTTGGGCTTGGGCACGGACGTCTCTTCCGTTTGAGAATGTGGAAAAATTGCACTGTTTTTCTGGATGTCCTTTCAAATTGTATTTTCCTCAAAGCATTCAGTGTGTTGCAATGCGTCTTGTTATCTACGTATGTGTGTGTTTTATTTGTTGTTGGCAAATAATAAAATGGTAGACACTTTTCACAACATGGCGTCACTCCTACGCCTTCTTTACTTTTCTATATATGTTTTTTTTTTTTTGTGCTTGCTACAAGGACTCGCGCTTGATTCGGTTGAGCACCAGCCACAGTCAAGACGGAACCAAGAGTGACATCAAATTTGCAAAGCGTCTGCAATTTATACGATTCGGCTCAGCCTACGGCACGAAAGGAAACGAAGACCACACGCACAGAGCAAACAGAATCCACTCAGACGCATACAATCCACACTCACACAGTGCCAGCCGGAGAGTGAACGAGAGGGAGACAGCGCGATGAGAGAGCGCGCATTTCTGTGTGTGTGGGCGAAGCTGTTGCTTGAAAAAGCTCTTTTTGCTGTTATTGTTATTGCTTTGCAGTTTTTGTTATCTCATTCATGTTGATTTTTTGTTGTTGAGCAAACAGCTCGCTCTCTGCTCGTCTTTCGTGCAAAAGTTACCCAATGCAGCATAGGGATTGCATCTGAACTGATTTATTCAGGTAGAAGCATATTCATATCCATACACACACATACTTACACACATGACTGTTGCTATTTACTTTGTGCGCGCACGAGCTTTGCTCTTCCTTATGAAAACTTCATTAGTGCTCTTAAGCTTTATACATTTGTATGTATGGGTGGATTGTCCTGTGTGCGTGTGTCTATGCGTGCATGACTGTGTCTGTGCGTGGCGCTTTGAGACGTAATGAAATCCCAGTTGAAATCACAAATTAATTAGTCAAGTGCGCAATTAAATACAAAAGCAAACGAGTTGTAGCATAATGGGCTCTGAATTGTTGTACAACTAAATGGGACTTTATGTAAAAATATACTTATATTTGCAATGCTTATAAGTATGTGCTTTATTTAGTAATATGGGAAAGACAACTACGAGAGACCTTCTAAGGAATATTTTTTTCTTTATATATTAATTTATTATAAATAATTTTTTAATCTATGTAAATATTTTTCATTAATTTAAATATTTATAATATTTAAAATACATATGTATTATATTATTTATATTGTATAAATAATGTATTAAAAAATATGAATATTTAAAAAAAGTACAAAATATGTAATTTAAGAATCTTTTACAAATAATCACACTTTTTTGTAATATATAAGAAAATTTATTATTACAAAACAAAATGGATTTTCAGTACTAATAAAAAATAATAAATTTATGATATATAAAAATCAATTTATATATGTTTTTGGTAACTTCAAAATGTAAACTATTTATATATAAATACTAATATATATTTTAGTATACAAAATTTGAATAAACATGCAGATCATAAATTATTTTTTATCTAATATGTATGATTAAAATAATTAGAGAAAAATAATAATTTGAATATGCATAAAAATATTCATATAAATATTATTAATTGTTATACGTATAGATACACATTTATAACTATTTTATATTTTTAAAGAAAAATCTGCCACCTGTTGGTTGAGCAAAAAATCTGAAAATCAAATTTGTTTTATATGACAAACACAAAACTTACCATAGCCTCAGCGGCAGTTGAGCTGCAATTTACTTAGCTGTAATAAATTGGCACACATACGCACTAGAGACACTATGCACCTGGGCCACAGCCAAATCGCAAGGGACACCTACGAGCGACTGATGTAAAGCTCTGCGAATGCAATCGAAAGTTGGATTGATTGGAGTGCGCATGGGCGAGCCTTCGGGCTAGGCGGGGAAGTGATTCTGTTTCAGCTTCAACTTCTTCGTCTTCTTCTTCATTTGGCTCATTTTTGGATGTGTGTGTACATACAGCATGGAGGAGGCAGCAGCAGCAGCAGCAGCAGCTGGTGGAAGGCTCGCCATTGCCTGGGGCAATGCTAAACCGATTTCTGCACAGAGCCGAACTGTTGCTTCAGCCAGCAGCCGAGGACCACCCTGGACCACCCTAATACGCCCACCTGTTACATGCCAAATGGCATTCATTCGGCAATTGCTTCCGCTGGCCGAGGCCCGGATATCAATCTGTGTGTGTGTTTGTGTGTGTGTGTGTATATGTGAGTGTGTGTGTGTGTGTGTGTGTGTATGTATGAGTGTAGAGCTGCAGCTTAAAGCTATTGCAGCTTCATTTGCATCTATTTTTGGGCATTGAGCTGGAGCTGCATTTTGTCCTGGATAGAAGCTGGAATGCATGAGCCAAGTCCACTCAATCTATGCATGCTCCAGCTCCATTTCCACTTGCCGCTCCCAATCCATTCATGTCGACGTATGTGTGAGTGCAACTTAATTTTTCCATTTGACGTCACATTTTGTTAAGCAGCAATGGAACAACATCTGTGAATGAGTCCAGCAACCCGGACAGAATCCATTCGCCAGGATTGACCATGTTGTGTGCGCTTTGTGCTTGTCAAATAAGATAAAAAGAAGAAACAAGATTAGAGCAGATAAATTGTGTAGAAATGTCTGTTTGAGCCAAAGGATTTGCTCATTTTTATTAAGAGGCTTTATTATCAAGAGGTTTTCTCTGGTTTCCTTTTTCTCTGTTCTCTGCATTGCCGAATGACAGAAAGTGGATTTCAGATACTTTAAAGATTCAGTTAAGTGGATAAAAGTATATAAAAGGCAATGTAAGATAAAACGGGGTCGAGCTTAAGGGCGCGCTCAGGTTAAATAAATATCTGCATTGGAAATTCTCTCTAATTCACTGCGTTCTATTTATATAACTAAATATTCCATATTTCTTAATTTGTAAAATGTAATTAAAAATTGTAATTGAAAATATAATTTTATTAAATTCTTTTTATTATGGCAATTCAATTTCTGTATCAATTAGAAATATATATATAAATGTATATACAAAATAAATATGATGCATGCTATATTTATGAATAGATATAGGTATATAAATATATATATTTATATATATATATGTTTATATAAATGTGTGTGGGTATATAGAGAGATATATGCATGTATGTTTAGTGTAATTAAAGCAAGTTCTAGGCTAGTTCATCCACTTTGCTGTATATATGTACGTAAAACTGAGTAGTCGCAGCTACTAAAGCTTAAGTTCTTGTGCAGCGCGTATTCGCTTAGACCCTAATGATGCCGAAGAAGCTGCGATTGTTGTCATCCCGGAGCATTACATTGCGATCCCGATGGATGTCGCGCAGATGTATTGACTCGTGCTGCTGCAACTGAATTAGGCCTCCTGTGTGGCAGGTGTGAACCTTGGGCATGTTCGTAGGCACCGTATTGAGGCATTGCAGGAATGCCTTATTGTCATGGAAGATAATGAAGCCATTCTGATCGTGCGTATTATTGTAGCAAATCTGGGCATAGACGTAGTAGAGACCCGCCTGGTGGACTGTGAGGACGCCATTGTGAACGCTGAAATGCTGCTGCCACTGATTGTCGCTGCTGGCCGTGGGATGTCCCATGTACATGTCACCTTGATAAGCTTTAGATAAAAGGAAATTTGAATCATATAAATTTATTATACACACGAGTATGTATATTCAGACAAGTAATACTCACAGTGCAGCCGAATGGAGGACTCGTGTTGCGGCACTTTGCGATTCAAGTGGAAATGTGCAGCTGCTCGGCTTGCGGCAGGGAAATCTGCGGATTTCGCTGAAACAGTAGATTCGCCTGCAAATTAACAAACGCACATATGACAGTGAAGGAATATTTTGGTTGCTATAGATATTGCCAATTAAAATGCGACTATATGTATGTATATATAAACACTCACCTTTGCGTACTAAAAGTCGTTGACGGCCCTCACGTGTGCGTGGTCGCTGTTTGTGCAGATGCTGCTTAGTGTTGCTATTGGGCGTAACAGTGCTGTAGGAGGAATTAAAAGTAAATATCCTTTAATAAATGCCTTTTTGTTAAGATGCTAAATGTTCCTAAGAGACTGACTGCTGTGACTTTATAAGGATGTCTATACATGTATTTTATTATATTCCTAATCCATCAACTGTACGCTCAGCTTAAAGACTCAATTTTTGTCAACTGAAGCAAATTTGAATGACAGACATTGGAACTTTATTACTCCGACGCCATTGGTCAGGGGCGCATTAGATTCCCAATTATAATGTAAGCGCAATGTTTTCATTTGAGTAAAAGAGAGAAAAAGGGAATTTAAGTGCTTACTCGCTTAACCTCATTGGTTGCAACTCGTACGATCCGCTTGACAGTCGAAAGTGTGCGTGAGCAGTTTGTATAGTTCATACGTGCTCTCTCTAGCTCGTATTAGTATGTATTAGTGTGGGCTAGTAATGAAGTGCACACAAGGTGCATTTGTAGCCTAAAGAGTTAACTGTCCTCTCTCGCTCTCTCTCCCAATAGTGCTTATTAGTATGAGTGTGAGTAACTATTGCAGTGCCGGCTTAGCGCAGTGGGGACATTTTAGTCTGTGCGCGTCTGCCCTGCTGATCGGCCGTGCCCTCTGCGCATGTTAAGAAAATAGTGAGGCCATATTATAAATTTACTGGAGGGTAATAAAACGCGCTTATTTAGTTTAATATTTTTAATATGTGTAAACTCTATATCCATAAATGGTTGATACACCTATTATTAGACTCTCAGTAACATCAAGTGACGTGCTTGAAATAAAACTTGAAAAAAGACGCTCATATTGGCGCGCATATGAACAGAGCTCACATGTAAAGTGAGAGCGAGACAGATAAGGAGAGCATAAGTACCTTGTTGCAATTCCCTAAAGGGTAATTATACTCTTAACTATTCAAGTTTAAATGCTAATGAAGAGCATTATTGCTTATTAAAGAAATTATGCTCTTGCCTCTTTTATATGTATTTAATTTCCTTTTTAAGTGCATATTTAATATTTTAACATACCTTTCCTTTGTCTGCTCAGCACTTCGGCTTTGGTTCTTCGCAATTTCTGCTAGTTCGTTGCTCGGCAGCTCATTGCGCATCTCGGCAATGGAGCGAGTTTTACTATTTAAAAAAAAAAGGTTTTGATTTCATATATCATATCATATTTATACTATTTAATCAATTACTTACCGTTCCCTCTTCTTTTTGGAATCGTTATAGCTAGTGAAGTCCTCAAACACATTATCATCATTGGATGCCGACGAGCTGGAGCTGGAGGCGGCGGTGGATGCCGCTGTGTCCGACTTTTCGCTGCTGTTGTCCGGTGAGAGGGCTTGGGTCACACTCTTCTCCTGATTAATCAGATCCAAGTATTCATCGTAGTCCGTATGCTCGTTGCCCGAGTCCTCATCATCCTCGTCCTCGTAACTAACCGCATCATCCTCATCCGCATCATCCTCTTCGCCGACGTCTGGGTTCTCGAGGTTAACGAGCTATTTGGAATCATGGATAAGCAGGTTCGTATAATATAATATAAAGTGGATGCCAGAAGATTTGTGGGTCAAACACTTGGGCCACAAGTACGTGACTTGTGCCTTGCCTCTGCCAGAGGGGACCTGGCCCCATAACTTATGGCTCTAATGCATATTTCACAAATGGGCGTGTGTGTGTGTGTGTGTGTATATGTGTATCTTTGTGTGTGTGTCTTTCATATATATTTATAAATACGCGTACTCATTTAAATAATACTTTTTCATTTCATTTCTATTTTTTTGCTTTGGCTTTAATTGCTGGCGCCTTCCCCCAACTCTCTAGAGACGCTGTCATTAGCTAGATGTATATATATATATATACATGCGCACATTATAATCTTATATTCATTTAGATTGCCTCACATGCACAGCTCTCTTGAGTTTTGAAACGATCTATCCATGATTCCATTGATGAGATCAGATCAGATCAGATTAGACCAGTTCCGTTCCGATCAGTCAACACTTGTTGCTATATATGCTTAATAATTACATATCTTTGCGTTCCTCTAATAAGTAAATAATTTCAACACGAAATCCATTTAGCAATTGCCTTGGCTCTAATAGCCAGCATCATAAATTATAGCACGAAAAGAAGAATGCTTGGTCGAAATCGATTAAATATTAATTGAGTGTTAGCTCTTAAGAGCTTCTGGCTTATGTCTTTTGCTGCTTGAGTGATTTGTCAGAAATGCCCATTAATAAATGGCAAAAGTATTTTATGGCCCCCTGAACTAACGGTTCCCATTCAGATCTACATCTATCACTTTGCAACCATTTGTCAAAAATAAAGAATTTTTCATATATATATGTATGTATATATGATGTCTATAAATACGCATGTCCCATATAGATATTTATATATATGAGTTGGGAATGTGACGCAATGCTTGGACTACTACGAATAGAAATGGGAATTATTTTCGTAGATTGAAGCTCACCTCCTTTTCGAATTCCGCAAGATCCTCCAGATAATTGAGGCCCAGTCTTTTCTGCAAATTATCCATATCGCGCCTCAAAGCGCCCAGATCATCCTCAAGCTGTTGCACGCGTTTCGTTTGCCAGATCTGCAAGAGATTTGGGAGATATGTTTATATTATATAGAACTCTCTGCGTCATAGATGGTGTATGAGATCATTGAATGAGGAAACTATATAATCACAAGTATAGCCATGGCTATGGCACAGCATGATCATGTGTTTATGCTCAATCCAGCAAAACGGAATTCATTAAAAAACAGACAATTGTATACACAATGTAAATATATATAAATCAAATGAAATTATATCAATTTGTATTCTGCCTAAGGAAATTTCTTTGCTAAAGTAGAATAAATATGACTATATATACATATTGTATATGTATATAGATAAGCAAATACATATATGTATATATGCTTTTCGTTCTATTCTCGATTCACTTTATGCTTATCTTCAGTCTTCATATACAATTAATGTAATGAGCTTTAATTATGGCGATAGGCGGTGCTAAAATCCACACATCATTAAATCCCAAAGCAGCGAACTTTGACACCAGCGTCCAAAAAAATATCTACGTGCATATACATATATGCACATACATATATGTACATCTATGTATGCATGTATGTATGTGTGTATGCTCTGACATAGAAAGCAAGCATTTGATGTGCACAGCAGATGAACAAATAATCATCTTCAGCTTTAGCATGCTCGACTAGGCAATACCCTAACCTAAGGGCGTGCACGACTATGGCATACACTCTATTATCCAAGGCCCCTGTGAAAATACATCATTCATTCAATCATTAATTCAAGTGTTGCCTGACTAAGCAAAATCCATTAAAGCTAATAAAGCTCTTATATCTTTAAAAGCCCATTTACAATTCCTTTTGTGCGAACCTTATGACATGCTTGATTGGGCAATACTCTATAAAGTGCAAGTTCTTGTGAACTGAATTTATTTATAATTTCTTACTATTTTCATCTTAGTTCTAAGATGCTCGACTAGGCACTACCCTTTGATTTGATATGCATATGTATATATAATTATTTAAGCTAATTCACATTTTTAAAATAAGCCATGATATGAATATATGAGCTCCAAGCATTCGTAAGTAAATTAAATATAAAACATAGCTGTTTTTTCCTTATTAAAAAAAAAAACAAAACTTTAATTTCTATTTCTACCTAAACTAAAATGTTTTAAAATTGAAATAATATTAAATGGTTTGTTTTTGATCTGTAAATCAATTATTTTAAGCATTTTCATTTTAGCTCGAAGGGCATGAAAACAATTAAATACCCTGTAAAAAACATGCTTGGCTTTTGTATAGATCTTCCTCTTATGCTTTGAGTCTGTATTGTCATTATGTCTATATGTTTTAATTGCGCTTTCTAGAGAAAATAATGAAAAGTGTAAATATTTTCATATATGAAATGCGCTAAATTTGAATTCTAGCCATATTTGGTTATACGAAATATATGGCTAGAAACCGTAGAGCCTTGGGCTCAAGCTATGTCTCATTGTTGAACTTAGCTTACAGCCAAAGGACATTTATATACGTATATAAGAAATACTTAACTTAGTTGAGCCATTTTGCTTTGTTATTATTATCATATAATCTTTTTCAATACTTTAAAAATGTAGAACAAATGTTAACCACCTCGTTGTTTATTAGTTGCCCAGGGCATTTGTCAAATAAAAATTAAAAAATATGAATATAAAAAAAAAAAACAGAGAACAAAAACAAAATATGGTGTATGACCGTCGAGGCGCATAATCTTTTTAATGGATCATTAACATTCTGTGCGAACCGCCGCAAACTTTCGACGCGTTGCTCAATATGAGACTGTCATCGCCTTTTCCTATCATTATTTGCTATATACAACATCGTGTTGCTCTTCCCCTCTCTCTCTCTCTCTCTCTCTCTCTCTCTCTCTTTGTATAGCTGGCTCGCAACCCAAAAATAAAGAAAATCAAATTAAATAAAATGAAATAAGAAGCTAATGTACGCTGGTTATGACAAGTCGGGGCTGAAACTTGGCAGCTATGTGTGAGGAGATTCTTAAGATCTTTGTCTGAATAAATTATGGAACTTGTTTACGAAATTATTGAATTAAGCTTTTGCATTGATCGTGAAACGACGGCTGAGCGTGTGACAAAGCTCCACTCGACACTGGGGCTTACACAGTGAGAAAAAAACGTGTTAAAACTGTCGAAATGGCGACGAGAGACGAGGGAAGGGAGGAGCTGGGGCTGAATTTAGTTGAATATAAGTAGTATCAGCATCAACATTAGTATGTATATATGAATATGAATATCTTTCAGATATAAGTACTAAAATTTAAATGTTTACTAATATATTCAGTGTTAATATGAATACGAATTGAATATGAATAATAAATGAATATTACATGAATATAAATTAATATATGATGCAATAATCTAACTAGAGATCTCATATTGAATTTCGTAAACAAACATAGATAATACAACTTCAATGTTATATTCTCAATTAAATGCATCTAAGTCCATTCAAGATGAAAATAATAAAGATATCTTTATATCTTTATATAGGGATCATCAGGGCAACTTCTACATGAGCTGTCTCGCCTAGCGTGCAGCGCTCATCTATCTTGTAGTTAGAATTCGAGTTGACATTTGAGTCTTGAGATATTTGTGGTTTCCAGGAAACGCGTATGTAAATATCAAACGAGTCTCCCAGTTGTTAAATTGAGATTGATTGAGAGCTTAAACCCTCACATTGATGTCTATTTTCGGCCAACTTTTGACTGCGATCTCAAATACCGCTCACTTGCTGTAATTCGAACGGCTGCTACTTGATTTGTAAGCACTTAAAGTTCACTTTGTCGCCAGGTATTATGACAGCCGTATATGGATAGTATGTTAACGAGAATGTAAACGAGTTTCGCCTTCATAAATCTAGCTGGCAGTCGACGCAATCAAATCTCGTTACACCAGCAGAAACACAACACAAGAAATAAGTTTTTTGTTTTCCACTTTCACCAACTCTGATGAGGGTCAATCCGCATACCACCCCACCCAACCGTATGGTCAGGGTTACAGGGCATACAACATACGTCAGATAGCAATCGGTCTTTTGTTCGGCTACCGGGAATTTCTATAAAAATCTTAACAAAGATTTATGTGGCTTTGCAGAGCACATGTCCGTTTAGCTGCGGCCCTCAAGAGCCAAGGCAATCCGTAAAATAAGAAAAGCCATTTACAAGTCAATTGACAATTGTACGATTTCCGTTTCAGAAAAACACTCCATAGTACATGCGCACTCAGTGGAATGGTGCATGGAGAAGTGCGCAGTGCTTAAAGCCGATCTGTGACATATATAGACTTCTTCTCTTATGCATACGCCATGCAAATTGTTGTTGTTATTATTCAGCGATTGTGGAGCATCATCGAAAGTTATCGGAATACAAAAGTTCAGAGTTTTATATGCCATATATAGTATATATGTATGCGCATATAGTATGTATTATGTATGGAGTATAGGCGGACATTTATCGAGCATGCCATAAAAATGGTAAAATACCAAGATAACCATGCATTTCTATCAATACTTCTTTAGCTCGGCATGGGAAATAAGTACTTGAGTAAACAACGTGGGGTTACTTAGTTCTCGGGAAGTAATAATTGATCTACCTTTCAATTAGATAAGCTCCCATGAGCTCTATCGCTGATCATGGAACATATCTGTTTTCAAAGGGGGTTCTTTTTTTTTTTTTTTTTGCTCTTTTATTATTATTTTTTGATCAACTTCCGCTTTTAGCTGCTGGGATTTACCTTAAATGTTAGCTACCCTAATCTAGTATTTTTTGGATTTGTTCATTTATATAAACAGTCTCAAGCAAATGCTACCACTTGAACTTCAAACGGTATATCTCTTAACACCTCGCTATGTATTTGCTTCTCCTGTTTATAGCTGCAAGATTTATATATTTTTATTAGTCCACGACTTCCCTTCTTATACATACCCATCTGTCTATCTCTTTCTGTTGGCTCGGGAATGATGATCGGCTTGTTCGGTTTTATGACGATCATTAGGAAACGATTTGGTCAGAGACACGCTTCGATTTAGATCCGAGACGGGACGGGTTTTATTGGCCAGCACCCTGACCAGCTCCAGCTCTACCTACTGCCACAGCCACTGATTCAGTTGCTGTTGCTTCTTCTCCTTCTTGAAATGTGTTTTTCTAAATTTTATAGGTATAGCTTGTGCCAAATTAAATGCCTGACGGTCACGCTTCGTAAAACGAGCTTTATGGATTTGCATTTGAATTTCAATCGGAATTGGAATTTTAATTTTAATTTGATTTTCTTTTTCTTATTTATTAATTTATTTATGAGGTCTTTTTTTTTTGTGGAATTATGAAACGGGAATTCATAAAGCCAAACCTTAGTATCGTCAGTGCTAATGTCGTAGGTTATTCGGTTTGATTAAATCTAATGAGCAGCCATAATCTTATCAATTAAGCTATTAAGGTGTTTAGTCATTCGCTAATATTAGTTAGTTGCATCTGAAATACATACCGTATAAGTGAAGATAAGAGCGATGAGAACGAGTGCGACAATGCTTAAGACAATTGGTATAAGCTGTCTGGTGGTCTTCCTTGTTACGTTCGATTGCTTGGCCGGATAAATATTAACGGCACTCGTTGGTTGTATAAACGGCTTAAGTGTTTCAGCTGACATAATTGTAGTTGTTCTCTCTTCCTATCTCGCTCTCACTCGTTGGCTAGTCAAGCTGAAAGCTAGACTCTTTCTAGGTGGAAATTCGCTGGAATATTGTCAGCTACTGTCAACTGCAGCATCAGCTGTCAAGTGCACTTGCAGCTCTCTTGCTCTCTCTCTCCCACTCTCTCGCTGTCTGTCTTTCAAGCACAACAAACAAGATCGACAACAACAACAACAACAACAACTTTTGCACTTGCACTTAGCCCTTGCAGATTTTTTGCTTCACAGTTTGCTTTTATTTTTGCACTTTTAAGTTTATATATTTGCTCATTTAATGGGCCTGCACTTGCGAAATAAACGAAACGAGTTTTATTGGCTTTTGCACTAGATCTTGTATCTAAGATTCTTGTATTTTTACAACGTCGTTTTATCAGTAGTTCGATAAAATATCTTGTTTTATATTTAGCCAGAGCCCTGCGCGTGTTTCACTCGCAATGGCCAAGAGCAACAAACGAAAAAATAAAAGAACCAAGTACAAGATTGATGCTCTTTGTGCTGCTGGTACGCACGCGCTCTAAATACGTCTGTTAGTGACTGCAACTCGCGTTCAACTGATTGCTGACTCGGCGTCTGCCTTGCTGCCTTGAGCGGCGTCGCAGCCGCGTTAGCGCTTGGCACGCGCTCTCCGCATGAGCACAACAGAATCGAGAACAGCATCGAGAACAGAATCGAGCAGCGCAGAGCAGAGTCAAGCAGAGCGCGCAGGGAAGTGAAGCGCGTTTTGCCAATTATTTTGGCAACCGCAAGGGGGTGCCTCTGTCGCTGCCGCAGCCGCAGCCGCAGCTGCTGCCTGGATACGCAAGCGATCGCTGGGAACAGTTCGTGTGGGAACAGATGTGCGTGCGAATGTCTTGTATGCTGTTTTGACTTTTGTGTAGTGTTGTTGTTAGATTTTTTTTTTTCCTGTTTTCGGTTTTTATGGATTACTTAATTGTAGGGGGGTTGATAACAAAGTCCATAGTTTATTATTTATGTATATAGAACACAAAAACACCCCGAAATATTAATGTTATTTGACTTTAAGTGATAATCGAAAGACCCCTATAATAAATGCAGCTCAAATGCCAAATCGCCGCATTGAGAATTGCAAGTTGTTAGACTTTATATACTATTTAGAAACCTGCAATATTTATATTTTATGATATTTTTATATTTTATAATTTTTTAAAAACTAGCAATTCCTGATGGGTCGATTTGGCAATTGTGCTGCATTTAATATAAGGGTCTTTCGATTATCGCTTAAAGTCAAATAACATTAATATTTCGGGGTGTGTTTGTGTCCTATATAAGAGGTATGTATGTATATATGTACATATATACATTTGCCTGTATATATACATATAAGGTGATAAGGTACATTGTGCATTTCATTAAAATGATATTTATTCTTACTTAGTTAATGCGAATCACTCTGACGCTGGCTTATCTGGCCAAATAGACAACCCAACAGATTTACTTTCTATTCTTTCTATATACATATATATATATGTTTTTTGTTGGGTTCTAATAATACCCGGCCATAAATTTAATGTGTTATGCTACTGTCTCGACAAATTGTCTAGCTGTCTATAGTTTTGTGTGGATTACATGCAGGCGCTACCTCGGTCTGTGGCCAGCTAATTAGTTTTGAATTGATGGCTAGCACAGGTAGTCAGTCGATCGAGCAAACCAAAATGGCGCCCAGCTTGTGGCAGTTGACAGTTGCCAGTTGACAGTTGCCGCTCACTTCCGGTTAATGTTGCTATCGGACTGCACTTAAACCAAATATTTGCCTCTATAGAATATGGCAATGGGTAATTGCTTTGCCTCGGCAATTCAAAGTCAATGTCAGTAATTGATGTTGCACACTTCAGACATTTTATATGTACAATTGCTCGTTTATAGCTTACAGTTATGCGGCTTTGTCTGTGTGCCACGAGTGTTTCAATTTTCTCTCTTATTCTTTTTTCCAATATATACATACCATACATATGTATTTATCGCGCCAGCATCGGTCAAAATTTATAGGCACTGAGGGCAATCCGCAGCTCAACGATGCTTGAAATGAATTTCTTGTGAACAACTCGGCGCTTGTCTCGCTTTATCTGTCTCTGTATTGTCTGCCTGGCAGATCGTTTAACTGCGCAGAACAAACATAGGCATACATACATACATACATACATACATATATGTAAAGCATATTCCCAACACATTTGCTCGCACTTGTAGCTGTATCGTACGTAGTTCAGCGTAATTAAAATTCGTTGCGATAATTAATATCTGACAAGCTTATTTCTGCAACAATCAAATGATTTCAATGTCAATAGCTTGTATATAGTCCTAATCATTCAGAGATATGTACGTACATACACAGTAAATGACAATAAGATTATAAAAGCGTTTGTGATCGTTTTAATTGAACGAAGAATTTGAATTATTAATTATTAGCATTCATTTCAAAATGTATTTGCTGCATTCCAGAAAAACACTACACTCATTGTTCAATTTATTTTATTCCAGCCTTTGAATGTGACAATAAATTGCGCCAAGTCGATATTTTTTATTAAATGTCATCGATATTGCACAGCCTTCTCAGTTCATCTCCAATTCGGAGTCCGTAACTGACAATAATTCATCGTCGAATAACAATTGCTCCTACCTCTTTCAATTCATACAAATTTAAAAAACGTAGTATAATATAATTATTAATATTAATATTTAATATATTATTATAATTTGTTTGTCTTAATCGCATGATATACAATTTAACATCTAATAGACATCAAAGTAATCTATCGTCAGCACTATTTGGCAATCTATCGCAACACCTGTGGGATGCAATATATCGATATGTTATGCTTATCAAAGCTGTATTCCCAACTAACTAGACAGCTCTATACTTTCAGCTGGCAGCGCAGTCGAAAAAAATGAGGTCGCGAAGTCAGTTTTCCGGCTTTATATTAATTTTAATTAATTTAATTAGTCAAAATAACGCACAGTCCAATGAAGTGGTCGGCTGTGGTGGCTTCATCAAAAGCCATGCAGAAATAGACTTTTCCAAGGTGGAAATAAAACTGTACGTGGTGACTTTCATTAATGGAATCGTAAATCATTGATAAGCATTTTTCCAATTTGATTTTAGCTTGACCAAGCAGGGCTCACTGAAGGATAAAACCGATTGCTCGCCATCGAATGGCTACTATTTCCTGCCCATCTATGACAAGGGTGAATATTTGCTAAGCATTGCACCACCTCCCGGTTGGAGCTTCGAGCCGGAACACGTTGAGCTCAATTTCGATGGCAAGAATGACGTGTGCAGTCAGGGCAAAGATGTTAATTTCGTATTCAAGGGCTTTGGCATTACGGGCAAGGTGGTCTTAGCCACCGGAAGCGGTGCACGGGATGTAGATGTGGAGTTGAAGTCGGAGCAAGGTGACATTCGCCGCACCAAAACGGACATCAATGGTGTCTTCTTCTTTACACCAATTATACCCGGCAAATATGTGGTGCGTGCCAGCCATGCCAGGTGGCATTTCGCCAAGGCAGAGCACAATGTGGTTGTGGTCAGTGGCAACACGGAGCTGCCAGCTAACTCTTTGGTGGTATCTGGCTTTGATATCAATGGACGTTTCGATACCAGCTCCCAATTGCCGGCTAATCTTGCTGTGGCGCTCTATAAAAAAAAGGGCGTAAGTAGATGAAAAGTCCAATATGTTATATTATGGGATCATATTATATTCTTCTCTTCTCTCCCACAGCAATCTCTACCGACCAAATGTGCCAATTCGCCCACTGCGCCGGCGAACAAGCTCAACAACGATTACGAAAGCGCCGCCGCTTGCTATTCGCTGGTCGAGAAGGGTGAATATAGCTTCAAGGATGTGCCCACAGGCAAATACTTGATACAGGCCATTAACGAGAACCAAAACTTGAAACTTCATCTGACGCCGAGCTTTTTGGAGGTGGACTTGGGCAAGGATACGCTGCAGATCAAAGAGGAGTTCAAGATTAGCGGCTTTACAGTCTCCGGCCAGGTGCTGAGCTCCGCGGACGGTGCCTCACTAAAGTCAGCTATTGTCAAGCTGAACAAGGAAAAGGTCGCCGAAACAGATGCCACTGGCACGTATACGCTGGAGAACATTAAAGCGGGCAGCTACAACATTGAAGTCGAGTATCCACAGCTGCAATTCGAGCCGGTGCAGGTGAAGACGCAGATTGCTACGCCCAAACTGCCCACAATTGTGCCTTCCGCTTACGAAGTGTGCGGCAAAGTCGTCTCTCCGAAATCCTATGTCGTTGGCATCACGAAAATCGGCTCCACCTTCCATACGACAACTACCACGAAAGCAGAGAGCGGCATCTGGTGTGCCTATCTGCCCGCCGGTAAATACAACATTGAAGTCCTCACCACGGAACTGGATAAGACGAGCGGTGTTCAGTTCTTCCCTGTGCAACAGCAGACCGAAGTGCGAGATGCGCCCGTGAATGGCATTATCTTCTCGCAGCTGCGTGCCACCATTCGAGGTGAGCTGCAGTGCCTGCCGGATGCCACGGCCACTTGCACCTCAGCAGAGATTACGCTACAGGGCCTCGATGCCACCGGACAGCCCACGGACAACAAATGGAAGGCCAGGGCATATCGTGAGTAGAGCATTCAATTTGCCGGCTCGCATCGGTTTTAACGAGCTCCTCTATGCAGGTGGAAAATATACTTTTAAGGATGTGCTGCCTGGTCCCTATGAGATAACGATTCCACAGGGCAATCTGTGCTATGAATCAACGCGAGTCTTCCTAAATGTCGCCGCTGCAGAGGAGACGGCGCCGCCCTTCATACACAAGGGCTACGAAGTGTCCATCATATCTAGTCATCGAGCGCTGGTAAACTTTTGTAATATACTTCATTTTATTTTCTCCGCTAACAATTATTTCTTTAATTACAGATGCGTTACGTGCATGTCACCGGACCTTCGGAACCCAAGGCACCCATTGAAACCCTAAAGATTCTTTCAGGCGTGAACACTTTCTGCGTTTCTAAATACGGCAGCTACGACTTTAAGCTGGAAGGCTGTCACATTTACGATGATTCGTTGCCCAGTAAATTCATCACTCCAGAACCAGATCAGCTGCAGACGTTGATTGTCAATGCCATTGCCCACAAGACGGGCGTGCGCGTCCTGTCCACAGACCCCAATGTGGATTCTCTGAAACTAGCTGTGGAATCGCAATCGCTGGGCAAACAAATTGTCACGCCAGTAGCTGAGGCGCATAAGGTGGATGGAAAATTCGCATTCCGCTACGAGACGTATCTGAAGCCAGAGGAAATTCTGAACGTTAAGCCATTGAGTGATGTCCTTTTGTTTACGCCACAGCATCAGCAGATCGTTGGCAGCAGTGATTGCGTTGATATTGCCTTCAATTTTGTGGCCACGCGAGGACTCATCTTACGCGGCAAAGTAGTGCCCGCAATTAAGGATGCCAAGATCACGCTGAGTTTTCCCGAGCAACCTGAACTTGAACCCATTGAAGTGCTCAGCTCCATTACAGGTGAATTCAAATTTGGGCCTATCGATGAGACGCTCAAATTCGAGCTGTCCGCTGAGAAGGAATCCTATGTATTCAGCGAATACAATCGCCAGTCGAACTCCTTCAGCGCACACAAACTCTGTGAGATTGAGGTGTCGGTACAGGACGATGCCGGTCAGCCACTGAGCGGAGTGTTGCTCTCGCTGAGCGGCGGTGAAAGCTATCGCAAGAATCTGGTCACTGGAGACAAGGGCGCCATCAATTTCAATTCGCTGTCGCCTTCACAGTACTTCCTGCGACCCATGATGAAGGAATACAAGTTCGAGCCGAATTCCAAAATAATTGACATCAAGGATGGCGAAACCGTGCAGGTTGCCCTAACGTAAGAACTATTGAGAGCGTATTTATATAACTCCTATTAATGGATTACCTTTTGCAGTGGCACTCGTTATGCTTACTCTATTTTCGGCACAATCACATCCCTCAATGGCGATCCCTTTCCGGAGGTTAATGTACAGGCCATCGCAACAGAGAGCTGCCAGCATCAGCAAGAGGAGGCATTCAGCGAAACCAATGGACAATATCGCATTCGGGGCCTTCAGCCCGGCTGCACGTACACCGTTCGCGTGGTGACGGATGATGAGAAAGTGTATCGCTCGATACCGGAAAACCACACAGTTACCGTTGCCAATGAGGATGTGCGAAATATAAATTTGATCGCTGTCAATCCTATCAACATTGTGGATGTTACGGCCAGAATTATGGCCTCACATAACGATTTCTACAAGACGTTGCGCATTGTGATGTACAAGCAGGGAGCCTCTGATTCGCCGGTGTTTTCTCAGCGTGTGGCGTCTCCGTTAAATCCCAAGTCTAGCTACAATCCGGGCATTATGGTGTATTTCCCGCGTATACCGCGCGACGGCAAGACCTATGTGGTGGAGCTGCAATCGACGCTCTCGGAGAAGACGTACTCCTACAAGCTGCCCTCCTTCACCTTTGTGGCGGACAGATGTTCCGTCTATGTGAAGCTGGATTTCAATGCAGAGGTGCGCTCCACTGAAGCTGATCTCAATCAGAATTCCATATCAGCACTGGTGCTCATTGCACTGGTGGCCATTGCCTTCTTCAAACAGGACTTGGCTGTCAATTTCCTCAACTTTGTGTGGAGCAAGCTGAACGACATTGTCGCTGATATCGCCCAAAGGCAGAAGGGAAAGGCGGCCGTCCGCAAAAACGAGCCCATCAATCAGCGAGAGATCGAGCAGATGGCCGATCAGATAAATGCCATTAAAAAGAAAAAGGTCAAAAAGACTTAAACCAGCCCTCACAAATTTTAGTCACCATCGGTATTCGGTTTTCCTATTTTTCTTTTCTTTTACTTTTGTTTTCTATTTAAATTTGCTCCTGAGATTTTCGGATCTAATATACAAATTTAGCATTTGTTTGATTGCATTTTCCGAACCAAATAACGGTAGTTGTTTTTTTTTTTAAAGCTGAGGCAAGTTTATTTTGTTCATCATTCTTATAGCTAAAATAAATAATTAAATAAATAAAATAAATAAATATTAATGGGCGTTCTACTGTGTCAAAATGTGTTCGGCAATGGGATTGAGCATTCGATCTCCCCGACGGCGCTTCAGCTGCGTGTGGCGACGTTCGGCCTGTAAGTTGATTTCATTTTGGTCCTCGGCCGTGCTTTCCTGATTGGTTGATTCGCTGGCTTCTGTGGCTTCGTCCTCTTCAGCAGCTGGTGCAATCTCTGGCTCTGTGCTCTCCACGAACACACATTCGGGATTCACAGCGGCGCACTCCTGGAAGTTGGTAGCTCGCTTATGTGGATTGCGTGAGTTGGTGTACTTCTCAAAGAAGCCGCGGCCAACAATGCGGAATGCCATGCTGGTCAGCGGATTCAGCTTGGAGCGGAACTCCATCTCGCAGACGAAGCGGCGACGACAAGCCTTGGAATCCAGACCCAAAAATGCGAACATAAACTCGGCAATTCTATTCAAGAAATAAAGCTTATAAATAAATTTGATTAGATAAGCTTCAACTGTTGCTCACTGTTCTTCGGCAGGCTGCTGGCGTGCAACACTCTCAGAGATCTCCTCATCAATGATCTCCACTTGATCCTCCTGATCAGCTTCCACATTATCCTCCACATCGAAGTTATCAATGCTGCGTCTGCCTCGGCGAAGCGTATTAGGCCCATCAGCGGGTCCAGTCGGCCCACTGGGTGCAGAACTTATTGGAGAATCGCTGTGTATATCAGACACAATATCGGAGTTGGAAGAGTAACCCGAGTAGCTCGAGTAGCCCGAGTAGGGATCAAAAGAGGGACTCGAATCGTACGAGGAAGGTGATCCATAATGCTCGTGCTCATGCTCATGATGATGTTCAAGAGAGTATGGAATATGATCTTGGGTAAAGGATGGGGGGCTGGATACAAAAATAATTTAATATAGATAAAATGATTGGAAGATTCAGTGCTTACGGATGATCAAGAATCACCTCCTGATTGCATCGGGCGTGGGGCCAGAAGTAGCGCAGACCCAAGTAAATGGCGCTACCCACAAAGAAAGACACGATGACTACTTTCACCTTGATCCAATAGGCAATGGCCAATGGCCACAGATGGCGAACTATAAATGAAAATCAAATCTGATTAGATAACAGATAACAGATAAGACAGCACTTTCACTGAACACGAACAGAACCCAATGCTAGTCTACTGATCTACGACAATTTACAATTGTCGAATTGTGGCGCCGATTGAAAGTGAAAAGTGTTAATTGATTATTATTGAACGGTACGTGCACATCGTGATGATCCAATTGGAAGAGATATATACATATGACCAGCCCACTGACTGGGCTGGGAAACTTTCAAAAAGAAAGTCTTCACTTGTTGATTAGCAGGCGGACAACCAAATAGCTTAGAATGCGATTAAACATGTTTCAAATGTGCTAATTGTTACCGCTCTACTATTGCATAGTAATAATAAATGTAATATTTCGATGGACTGCAATTGACACCAGAATCGATGCTGTCCAATCAAAGTCACCCGGTATATAAATACATAGTACTAATTGTATAGTTTATCGAGAAGTAGAAACTTACACCATAAGCGATGGCGATGACGACGTGTGCGTCCTTCGAATTCCAACAGATCTCGGCCAGTATTAAGTAATGTTTCCATATCCATATCCGTGTTCGTATTCATAACTTGAGTCTCAGCATTTTCCGGCGTTTCATCGCAGAATACCAAAGTGAAATAGACCACAAGCAGCACCGCCGCATACCATATCGTTGTTTTATTCATTATTTTCTTGAGTTTATATTCCTGTGTTTGGGTATATCACTGTATCACTTGCACAGTTGCTGCAGAACTGATGATGCACTCTACGCCGGGTCCAACATTTATATACCTCTGCCCATTCGCTTTACTGTTGTTGCTTATCCCAAGTTCAGGGTGATAATTGATAGTGGAGTCATTGTGGCTTTATCCAACAGCTTTTAACACATGCGTAGCTGGTGGATGATGACAAGCAGGGAACGTTTTTTTTTTTATTATTTTTTCTTAATGTCTAGAGCATGCATTTGAAATGAAATGCTAACGAAATTTCTTTAAACTGGCGGAATTTCACTTTCCATAAATCGTGCTTTATATTTTCTTTAGCTACTTTTGTTTTTATGCTTACCTATAAATTAGTGAATATTATGAAATGCATACGCAGTTTCTGTTTTGTGGTTTTTTTTTTCACATAATTAATATGTGCAAAAATATATTTATATATAAAATATTTGCTATTCTCACAAAGACTTGTTATTGGTACTGTGTACCATTTCAAATTCTCTACATTTCGCGGACTTTGATAACATTTTTGTGTTTGTAGCCCTGGTTTCTGCAGCACAGTTCTTGCACTAATTAAGAAAGTATCGATTCCTTGCGAGCTGTTTATGTTTCATGTTTATGTCGTTCAGCCATTCTTATACAAAATAAACATGTCCAGCGACAAGAAGTCAAATGAATTGGATACAAATCCTGCGCCAGATCCTCAAGCACCAATAACCCGCAAAGGTTTTCTAATATCACTCAAGAACAGCGGCACGCCCATGCCCATACCGGAACAAAATGTGGTTTGTATTAAATGAACATTTTGTCGTGTGCCGGCTTCTTCTATTTCCTTATCAATATTTTTTCAGTATGGCCGTTGCCGTCCAGTTTCCGAATTTGAGAAGCTCAACCGTGTGGGCGAAGGCAGCTATGGTATTGTATGTAAGTGCATAGTCAACACAATTGTACTCGCATCATTACTGAATCTCTTTTGTTTAGATCGAGCGCGCGACACTCGCAGTGGAGAAATTGTGGCTCTTAAGAGGGTACGCATGGACCAGGAGAAGGATGGTTTGCCTGTTAGTGGACTGCGTGAAATAATGATACTAAAGCGTTGTCAGCACGAGAATATTGTACGACTGCGAGAAGTTGTGGTGGGCAAAAGTCTGGACAGGTAAGAGGAAGAGACGATTTTGAGAGACTTCTGTAAATTGTAATATGCTCTCGCTTAGCATCTTCTTGGTAATGGACTTCTGCGAGCAGGATCTCGCCTCAGTGCTAGATAATATGTCACAGCCATTTACGGAATCGGAGGTGAAGTGCATAACGCTGCAGGTGCTGCGCGCCTTGAAGTATATGCATGACCGTTATATAATACATCGAGATCTGAAGGTCTCCAACCTGCTAATGACGGACAAAGGCTGCATCAAAGTGGGTAAGTATGGGCTAAACTTGATACTTCGTCATACATCATATATAAACACAATCTCAATTTCAGCTGATTTTGGCCTTGCTCGTTTGTTTGGCGACCCTCCAAAGCCAATGACGCCACAAATGGTCACCCTTTGGTATCGTGCACCGGAGCTGTTGCTGGGCTCTAGAACTCACACGACTTCGATTGATATGTGGGCTTTCGGTTGCATTCTGGGAGAACTGTTGTTAGGGAAGCCGCTGCTGCCGGGCACCTCGGAAATCGCACAACTGGACATGATTATTGATCTGCTGGGCGCTCCGTCTGAATCGATTTGGCCCGGCTATAAAGATTTGCCTGCCGTACAGAACTTTACGTTTAGCCAACAGCCGTACAATAAATTAAAAACGAAATTCCAAATGCTTGGCCCAGGGGGCAGAAGTCTGCTACACTCGCTATTCATCTACAATCCTAGCACGCGAGGCACAGCCGAAGATTGCTTGAACAGTAAATATTTTACTGAGCCGCCACAGCGTAAGTCGAGTTTCTTTATATAATATCAACTTATTTTTAATAAATTCTTTTCTATTTTGTGTAGCTTGTGATCCGCGCATGATGCCCACTTTTCCACAGCATCGCAATAATATTGCGCCTCCGCAACCGCCAACTTCTGCAGATATTCCCATTTCTCATTTACTGGATGTGTTTATTAAAAGACAACGTTTAGAATAAAAACCTTGTTAAAAAATTTAAAAACTAATTTAATAATATTGCTTGCCTCAGATCAAGTCTGCTTTAACAACTTTTAGACTCAGGATTAAAATTAAATAGGAAATCAATATTGTAAGAATTTTAAGTTATGATTGGCAATATTATTGAAAAATTGTTAGGACCAATTGCCGTCTGTTAATGCACTTTCAGCTTTTGAAAGTTAACAGAAAATGTTAGATTTATCGAATTGGTTGAACGGTAAACAGCTTTGTTCATTTCAGTTCCGCTTTTGTGAACCATCCGATTGAACTTATTCCGGAGCCCAGACATCAGACACCAGCCAAAATGACCAAAGATGTGGATAGCGCGGAAAGAGATAATAATATTGGTGTTGTTACCGTTAATAACGAGACAAACGGTCTAATTCGGATGGAAAATAAATCGAATGACGCTGTTGCATTAGAGACAAACGGCACTGGAAATGGTGAAAATAATTCGGAGTCGAATTCGCCCCAACCCCACGGAATTCAAAACAATGAGGATGATGCTTCGGATGCTGATGAGAATGAGCTGTTAATGCGCATGCGTGGTGATGCTGTTGGCGAGACAATGTTCAGCAAGAAATTTATATTACAGACATTGATGCAACTCAGCCAGCAGGTACCACATACAGCATTGGAACTGGAGTTGGAAGATGATTTGTGCAAGGTGTGGGATATGTCTGTCTCTCCGGAAGTAGTTGCTCTGCTACTAGAGAATGATGCCATCGAGCTAATTATGTTTGCCATTTCCTCCAGCGAGGATGTGCGTCTGTATGAGATTCTCATTGGACTGCTGGGGAACATGTGCGCGCAAGTGGAGTGTGTGGAGCAGCTGACGGCACGCGCTGATTGGATTGAAATGCTACTGAAACTAAGCACCTGCATGGATACGAGCATGCTGATCCAGTTGATGCGTGTATATCAATATGT